TTACCCTTAAGATGCTTCATGAAACGCTCGAACGGATACATCCACCAATACTGAACCGGTCCACCGAGCTCTGCTTCATGAGGGAGATGAACAGGAAGATGTTCCATAACATCAAAAAATGATGGCGGGAAGAACTTTTCCAAATTGCACATCAAGATTATAATATTCTATGCCAGTTGTGTTGTTACATCAGCTGATAATGTTTGTGTACTAAGATCCCGGAAAAAAGCACCAATGCCTTCATATGTACATATACATAATATTAGATAAAATTTTAATATGTACAAAGTATAATAGGAATAGCTAGAGTGTAGTTAAGTAGTAATTATTTTACTTCCAACAGCTTCATGGACATTTTTGGGCAAGAGTTCAGCAAATGCAAATAGAAATAATCGTTGCATAAACATGTGGCAGTCATGACTTTTCATCCCTGCAAACTTTACTCCCTTCTCAACAGATTTAGAAAGATTAGAAACATACCCATCAGGAAACTTAACGTCAGATGAAACCCATTTGAACAATGCTGACTTCTGATTTGCACTCAACTGAAATACAAGAACTGGTGCTTTCCTGTTTCTCAGTATATGCAACTCACTTCTGTTGCATAAATCAGGCAAGTCCAATCTTGACTTACCATTGTCTTTTGTTCTTCCTGTTACGTTCATAACTGTATGGATGATGTTATCAAAAACGTTTTCTCAATGTGCATGACATCAAGATTGTGTCTGAGCAGATGATCTTTCCAATAGGGTAGTTGCCAAAAATACTTTTCTTGTGCCAATTATGATGAACTCCATAACCTTCAGGCATATTTGCAGGAGTTGCCAGTTTCCCCCACGCATTACTGTTTCCTCTGCCCTCTAATGCTCGATTTGCGCATGTATATCAGCTCCTGTTAAATTTAGGGGTGGAGGGACACATACACTTTTTTTCTTCCTAAATAACCTCTTATTCCTCCGATATGGATGATTATCCGGTAAAAACCTGCGGTGACAATCAAAACAACACGTTTTTCTACCATGTTTTTGCTGAAACGCATCAGTTTGATCAAGACAATAAGGACAAGATAACCTCCCATGTGTAGTCCATCCTGATAGCATACCATAAGCGGGGAAATCGCTTATTATCCACATAAGCGCAGCCCCCAGAGTAAAAATTTTCCCGTTGAATAGTCATATGTGCGAACGCCGCTATACCATAACTGATTCAACTCATGTATGAGTGGCTGCAGAAATACATCGAGAGTTCGCTTCTGATGGTTGGGACATGGAACGAAAATACTAAAGGAAAAGAAATTCCTTTGCATGCCCATATCTGTAGAAAGGTTATAAAGAGTTAAGATTACTGGCCAATGAATATTGTCTACCAGACATACCAAATGGACTAAAATTATCAGCGCACAGACCAAGATAGACATTCTGTTTGAACTTAGCAAAATCTGGGTATACCGTATTGAAGTGTTTCCATGCCTTTGCATCTGATAGATGAACAACTTCTCCAATCATTGATGCAGCTGTCCTTTCAGATTGATAAAGCCGTTTCAATCTATCAGTTATAGGGAGATACCACATACGTTGGTACGGTATCCTTTTACGCCCACCAGTTTGTGGCCTGTATCTTGGTTTTTGGCAAAATCGACATTCCTCTAGCTGATCATCATCTTCCCAGAAAATCATACAATTGCCAACACATACATCTATCATCTCAGAAGGTATACCAAGACTCAAATCAACTTCTGTTTCATAGTATGTTGCCGCTGCCAAGTTATCCTCCGGTAGATACTCTTTCAGAAGATCAGCCCAATCATCCATGCAAACCTCAGCCAGGTTATGATATGTTTTAATTGACATCATCCTAGCTGCCAACGATAATTTAGACAGACTTTCTCTACATCCTTCGTAAATTGGCTGATTAACATTGTCTAACAAATCATAAAATCGTTTGGCATCTACATTAGGTTCCTCAACAACATTACCAGTATGCGTTTCATGAAATGCATCAGTCACCATCTCATGCATCCTATCATAATCTAGACCTTTATCAGATTGATACTGATTACTGATGACCATAATATGATTCATCAAAATCAATATGACTTTGATAATTACTACTACTACCAGCATTTCCATGAGTATTACTGCCATATCCTTCTCCATGTAGATACCAAACAAAATATTGCGGCATAAACCCTCTATTTAATAAATGCGTCCACACGGTTTTGGTTAGTGTATACCTTGTATTCTTGCATTTCAAACAAGGACAAAACATATTTTTGCTTTCTTTCGTTCTCTCCAGATTTGTGGCCTGATACATGAATATTTCTAACCCATTCTTGAATTCTTCTGTCAACGCCCCATCTGAATCTTTACGCATATATATCCAGCTTCTTAGCTCGTATATAGACATCTTGAAAATAACTCAAAAAAACTATCTCTCTCTATTGCTTAGATAATATAAGAAACAGTCTCTTGTGTCACGTGTAGCCGCGTGAATGGAGAAATCTTTTTATATTATTACTTCTTTTTTCAAAGAAATTACTACTCATTTGGGTTTCCAGCAATGGACAACCCAATATATCAGGTTTTAAAATACTATAACAAGGTTTAAGAGACCTAAAGTGGGTCTCCAGGATGCTGATCCTCTTATGTTTGAATGATGATGTGTTGTGAATGAAAGAAGAAATGAAGATGTATTTATAATAAAATTTTGGACTTTACGATGCTTTAACGACAATTTTTTTACATCGCTTTTACATTGCTTTTACATCCAACCTTCATATTACGACGATTTTACGTCGATTGTGCGATAAAATATTTCATCGACATTAGTTAGGTGAACATGTTTTTAATGTTCTTCACCTACCTTCTTTGTCAACGTAAAATCATCGTAACTGTACTTCGGATTTTAATAGTCGTATATTCATCGTAACGTTACATCCAATTTACGACGATTTTGCATTAAATATCAAATCTCTCTTTATCGATGTATAATCGTCGTAAAGCGTCGTAAGTTATATGTCGAAGTTACGATAATTTGTTTTTACGACGGTTTTACGACATTTTGTTTTTTTCCTCGTAAAATCATCGTAAAATTGTTGTATATTTGCGACGATTTATAAACTGTCATAACAGACCGTTGGAAAACGATTGTTTTCTTGTAATGAATGCAAGCTTGAGCCAACAACAAAGAAGAGAATATTTGTGGGCTATGGAGATGGAGTCAAAGGATACAGGACCTGGTCTCCATCAGAAAAGAGAGTTATTACAAGCAGAAATGTAGTATTTGATGAAAGTTCTATGCTGAGATTCTCAGCAGAGCCTACGATTTCCGTAGAGAGTGGTAGTGTTAACAAGCAGGTGGGGCAGGAGGTTGAAGGTGAAGAGAGCGATCTGCAGCAACACGAAGAGGGTCAAGGGAAACAAGTAGAAGACGTTCAACCAGAACCGACTCTATCAGAAACTGAACCATCTGGAACTACAACACGCAGTATTGCGAAAGACAGACCAAAGAGGATATGAGTTGGACCGCCAGTGAGATATGGTTTTGAAGATATGGTCGGATATGCACTACATGTCGCTGAATAGGTGGATACTTATGAGCCTTACACGTACAGAGAAGCCATATCATGTATTGATGCTGAAAAATGGGTATCTGCAATGGAAAATGAGATGCTGTCTTATGATAAGAATCAGACATGGGATGTAGTCGCACGACCACCAGAGAGAAAGATTGTTACTTGCAAGTGGATTTGCAAAATAAAAGAAGGGATATCACCTACAAAAGGAGTCAAGTACAAAGCTCGGGTTGTTGCGAGAGGTTTCAGTCAAAGAGAAGGAGTTGACTACAATGAGATTTTTTCACCAGTAGTCAGACTCATTTCAATCAGAGCGCTGCTTGCAATAGTGACACGTCAGGATCTGGAGCTTGAACAACATGATGTGAAGACTGCTTTTCTTCATGGAGAGTTGGATGAAGAGATATACATGACTCAACCAGAGCGTTTCAAAGTTCCAGGGAAGGAAGAATATGTTTGTAAGTTAAGAAAATCGTTGTATGGTCTTAAGCAGTCTCCCAAACAGTGGTATAAGAGATTTGACTACTAGTTAGGATAAGCGAGCTACATGAACAAGTTGGGATATATCAGGAGCCTTTATGATTGTTGTGTCTACTACAGCAAACTAAAAGATGGATCATATATTTATATGGTGCTTTACGTGGATGAAATGCTGATAGCTGCAAGTAAGATGTGTGACGTTCAGAAGCTGAAGGATCTGCTTAGCTTCGAATTTGAGATGAACGATCTGGGTGCAGCAAAGAAAATTATAGGAATGGAAATCTTTAGAGACAGAAAACAGAAGAAGCTTTTCTTGTCGCAGAAAACCTACATCGAAAAGGTTTTAGCAAGGTTTGGAATGTCTTCAGCTAAACCTATTGACACTCCAACCGCAGCAAACGTTCATCTCACTATATTTTCCATTCAGTCTGAAGAAGAAATCGAGTATATGTCTCGAGTTCCTTATGGTAGCGCTGTTGGAAGTCTGATGTATGCTATGGTTTGCACACGCCAAATTTAGCACATACAGTCAGTATTGTTAGCAGGTTCATGGGGCATCCAGGAAAGGTACTCTGGCTGCCTGTAACGCGGATTTTTCAATACCTTAGAGGTACATCTGATGTTAATGTATGTTATGGTTTGCACACGACCAAATTTAGCACATGCAGTCAGTATTGTTAGCAGGTTCATGGGGCATCCAGGAAAGGTACACTGGCTGGCTGTAACGCGGATATTTCAATACCTTAGAGGTACATCTGATGTTGGTCTTATATATGAGGGTGAGAGTCCGTGTCAGGTGACAGACTATTCTGATTCTGATTTTGGTGGAGATGTAGATAGCAGGAGATCAATGACAGGCTATGTATTCACTCTAGGTGACTCTGTTTTTAGTTGGAAAGTGACACTACAGCCTACGATGACTTTGTCTACTATTGAAACAGAGTAAATGGCGTTGACAGAAGCAGCTAAAGAAGGTATCTGGTTAAAGGGACTGGTTAGTGATCTGGGTATGCAGCATGATCAGGTTATCGTATACTGTTACAGTCTGAGTGTGATTTGTCTAACTAAAGAACAAGGTCATCATGAAATAACCAAGCACATTGACGTAAGGTATCACTTTCTTAGAGGTGAGAAAAGAATCAATGTGAGAAAGGTAGGAACTGCTGATAATCCTGCGGATATTTTCACGAAGGCAGTTCCTCAAAACAAGTTGAAACATTGTTTGCACTTGCTGAACATCACAAGCTGTTAATCTGATCCGAGTGGACGTCTGGCTCCGCAGGAGCATCTAAGCCCGGTGAAGGGCGTCTGGCTCCGTAGGAGCATCTGAGTCCAGTTATGGACGTCTGGTCCAAAAGAAAGTCTGATTTTCTGATTGTTGAAACATCTGGCACATCTAGCACATTAAGTGTGCATGTTTGGCATTCTGAGGCAAAGGAGAGGTTTGGTACATCTGGCACTATGATGGTGCATCTGATACATCTGTCTGTAGGATTCAAGTTAAGGTGGAGATTTGTTGATACGCCTTGAATCCTAATGTGTAGAAGCTTTCTAGAGGATTCAAGTCAAGGTGGAGATTTGTTGATATGCCTTGAATCCTGGAGCATAGAAGCTTCCTGGCATTGATGCATGCAGATGTGTGCAGGCTGCACGATCAATCATACAGGCTGCATGATCAAGCATGCAGGATGTACGATCCAGCATGCAGCCTGCGTGATCAAGCATGCTGGTTACTTTTAGCATGTTAAGTTTACATGCTGTGTCTTGAGGTTGTGTGTGTATGTTTACATGCTGCTCGCTGAAGCTGATGTTGAGATCTACATGCTGTGTAAGCTGATGTTGAAGACTACAGCCTGCGTGAGCAATGTAGAAGTCTGCGTGCACTTGGACCACTATTTCTGCATGAAGGTTCTTACATGGACCTAAGTGAACGATCCCAATTGCGATTAGGGTTAAATAGGATTTATGCTATAAATAACCGTGTTAACCTAATCTCTAATGTATTCTGAAACTTATGTCTCTGTAATAAAATCAGTCTCCTTTGCCTGTGGACGTAGCCAACACATCGTTGGTGAACCACGTTAATTCTGTGCGCAATCTTTACGTTTACTGTTTTCTTCTTGCATCCGTTACAACAAACATGACCAAAGAATTTTTTTCAGATGCTTTAGGCATCTTTGATCCTTCTGGAATTTTTACCAATACATTACTGAATGTGATTACATTCATGACTGAGGAACATCAATTTCCAGTCTTTGAGAAAAAATTTGTGCCACAAACTGGACTTTATATCTTATGACTTCATTGTTCTCATTGTTTTTAAACAACAACCTATTTGATCTCGAATGACATTACAACTTCAGGTATAATGACCATAAGTCTAAAGATATTTTTTTTATTGATTCTTCTGGAATCTTTTCATTTTGTTCTCTAATTTTCTTTCTCTTCTGGAGTATTATAGTGTCCATCATCCTCCCCCTTTTTAACTGAACCTTGAGTTCATTTACTCTACTCTGATGAATTTTGTTTTTTAGAAACAATAATTTTTGTGGAGTACTTCGAAGTTATATGAATTTTAAGTTCATTATATTTTTGTAGGGAGGATCAGAGAGCATTTTCTCTAAAACTGCCTAATGGAGTATGTTAGATCTTGCTGGGATCTTTAGAGATGCGATGTCAATTGGGATACCTGCAAAACCAACTAAACCAACTACGAGGTTTCTAAAATCAAATTCACTTACTTGGATATAATTTGGGGACTGCTTAAAGAAATCAAACAACCATATCTAATGAACTCTTTCCACCAAAAATGGTGATCGCTTATGATGGTCTCACTTTTATTCTATTTTTGTTAAAACATGCTATATGTGAAAAACTTCTGGTCTTATCATATAAATTATTAATAATATTTGATACTATTATTATACGGAGATGGTTTAAACCAGTTGTGTTATATATTAATATACTTTGGATTTACTATCTTAAACAATTCTTGCCATCTTTATGCATGTCTCCATCATGTATTTTTTTAAAATGTTTCGCTCTGCTAGAGCATTTTGTTCTTTTAGAACATCTAACTCTTCTGAAGCGTTTTGCTTATCGGGAGCGTTTCGCTCTTCTGGAGTTTTACCATCTTTAAATTTTTCTCTTCAAGAGTGTTTAGTTCTTCAAGAACTTCTATTTTTTCATGAGTTTCTAACTCTTGCAGAGCTTTTAACTCTGCCGAACTTTTAATTTTTCTGTAGTTTTCAGCTCTTCTAGAGCTTCTAGCCTTCTGAACCTCTAACTCTTTCAGAGCTTTTAATTCATGAAACTTACAGAAATTTTAACTCATCAGGAGCTTTTTAGCTCTTGTAAAACTTTCAAAACTTTTTAGCTTTTTTGGAGCTTTTAGTTTCACAACATTTTAACTCTTTCGGGAAGTTCTGAATTTCAATTTCTATAACCATATTGTAGTCAATAAAATAAATTATATAATTACACATAAAGAAATAACTAAACAGAAATTTAATAATAACTACATGTAATCAGTTAGTATATGTGTTAATCATCTTTTTAGACGAAAGTTATTAAACAGTTCTTCAGAAATGTCTTCATGTATATCTTCTGGATATTATTTTCATATAATTCTTTTAAAAAACTTTCATGCCTTCTGGACATTTTTTTTTCATTCAGTTCTTCAAGAACTTTTCTTATATGTTTTGTAGACATTTTTTTCTTTCAAATGGTTCTTCTGGAACCTTTCATAAATGTCTTCGGGATATTTTTTATATGGAGGCCATGATCTGATGACACATCTACCATATAATCATAAACCAACCACGTATTTGATATGAGGAGACATAGTGATATGATCAAGACCAGCTTAGGAACTTAGGAGATTAAAGGAGAACAAGGAGAGCCTGAACCAGAATCGAATGAAGACCAAGAGCAGCTGAAACCCGAGGAAGCAAGTATAGACGAAGACAAAGACTTGCATATTCCGATTGGTCCAATGACGAGATCAAGAGCAATGAAGTTCAAGCAAGCTTTCCACAAGCTACTACACATCATTCAGGGAAATCTTAAGTGTGCTAATCCAACTACATTAGTTGTGATACAAGCCACTTAAGAGTTCATCGAGAGAGGTGTTGTGACTTGTGCTCTTTTTCCCTTCGTTTGGTTTTGTCCCAATTGGGTTTTCCAAACAAGGTTTTTAATGAGGCTTGTTCACAACACTTTTACAAAAGGTCTCTTGATGAAAACTTAGCCCATTTCGTTCACCAGATGCGATCAAGGAAGAGAGGAGCCTATTTTCAAATTCAAACTAGTCTAAGTCTTAGTCATTGAGTCTTTAAGTCATCTTAGTTGTCTTTGTTATTTCCTATGTGTTCGAGACTCTATATGTATTGCTCTTGTCTTTCTTTTCAATCTATCAAACCTTTTATTTCTAAAACTCTCTCTAAATCGGTTGATCACCAGCTTGAGTAGTGAATTTGGATAATATCCTTTCATTACAAGCACTTTTATTTCTGTTGATAGTCTAAGAGATCTTTCATCTCTCTTAGAAGTGTCAAGGCGTCTTCCCCAAGTTATACCATATTTCATCATTTCATATTCATTCCCTTCCTTCCGCAACACCTCAAACCATCAAATTTCGAGATCACAATCGTTGGAGAGTAGTCCAGGGCTTGATCCTCACCTAGGATCATATCAAGTGGTATCAGAGCAAATCTCCAAACCCAGGTTGTGTCTTTTCGTGTTTAACGATTTTATGACTTTTCGTATTCTATTTTGATCGTGACAATTTGTGTGAAACTAGTCGGATCGTGCTCTCTAGCATCTGATCTCTCTAGTTTATATTACAAGTCATCCAGAATTTCAAAGAATTTTCATAGAAAGAATTAGGGTTTCTAAAAGTCCGATTGTCGTATCATGTTCTGTATCGAATTTGATCAATTTTTAAACTAGCATGTGTATTCTTCGAGCTCTTTTACTGGTTCTTTTACTTGTCATCTGAACAGGTACAATGGAGGAATCGGCTCATGAGAAAGAAGACCCCGCAAACCCAAGCGGATCGACAAACAAACTTATGATGGATGCTATGATGACTCAAATGATGTCTCTCATGCGGCGGGAGTTTGAAAGTATGAGATCTGACATGGAGAAGATGGTTTCGGACAAACCAAGAAAGAGCAGTGACCATTCGGCTTCGGAGCAATACTACAGCAACTCCTCTAGAGCTCGTTCATCAAGAAGAAGAGTAAGCGATAGAGAAGAAAGAAAGCAAAGGTCTAGCGTTCCTATGGGCAGCCTCAAGCTCACGATTCCTGAATTCAGAGGCACAGCTGATCCGGAAGAGTATTTGGAGTGGGAAAAGAAGATTGAACTTGTTTTTAACTGCCGAGACTACACCACCGAGCACAAGATAAAGCTGGCCCCAACAGAGTTTAAAGACTATGCCCTAAGTTGGTGGGATAACCTAGTTACAACCAAAAGAAGAATCGGAGAAGATCCCATCGAATCATGGAACCAATTGAAGGCGATCATGAGACGAAGATTTGTACCAAGTCATTACCACAGAGAACTGCATTTCAAACTCAGAAGTTTAACCCAAGGAAGCCGATCTGTAGAAGAATACTACAAGGAGATGGAAACTCTCATGATGAGAGCTGATATTCGTGAAGACATGGAAGCAACGATGGCTAGATTCATGGGGGGATTAATTAGAGAAATTCTTGATCGATTAGAGGTGCATCACTACGTGGAACTAGAGGAACTGTTGCACAAGGCTATTATGTTAGAGAAACAGCTCAAGAGAAGAAACTATAAACCTAGCTACGGATCCAACAAGCCAAGTTTTCAGAAGGATGAGAAAACGAGTTTCCAAAAAGAGTTTAAGCCATTCTTCAAGTCTAAGGGTGAAGAACAGGGCGTCAAAGGAAAAGAAGTGGTGACTACCTCCAAGAATAGAGATATTCAGTGTTACAAGTGCAAGGAGTATGGTCACTATGCGAGTAGCTGTTCCAACAAGAAGATAATGATCATTAAAGAGAATGGAGAAGTGGAAACTGAAGAAGAACAGTCTGAAGATGAGGAACAAATAGAGATGCCTGCTCGAGGAGAACTATTGGTAACTAGAAGGACTCTGAATGTTCAAACCAAGACCGAGGGAAACGAGCAAAGGGAAAATTTATTTCACAACCGATGTATGGTGCAAGGAAAAGTATGCAGCTTAGTAATAGATGGTGGAAGCTGTACTAACGTGGCTAGTGAGTCTATGGTGGAAAAATTAGGTTTGAAACTAATGAAGAGGCCGAAACCTTACAAGCTACAATCGCTGAATGAGGCTGGAGAAATGGAGGTCAAAAATCAAGTTATGGTGCCAATATCGATAGGCAAATACCAGGATGAGATTCTGTGTGATGTATTGCCTATGGATGCGGGGCATATCTTACTTGGAAGACCATGGCAATCAGATAGAAGGGTTATGCACGATGGTTTCACAAATCGTTATTCCTTTGACTATCACGGCAAGAAAACTACTTTGGTTCCCTTAACTCCTCAAGAAGTTCAGCAGGACCAGATCGCTATGAAGAAGAACAAAGTGCAAACCACCTCTACAAACTCTCTATCAACGAGCCTCATGATCACCAAACCAAAGGGAAGTCAACTCCCAAACTATTTACTAGTTTTCAAAGAATGCTTTAACCTAAATATGCCTACGCAGGTTATTCCTAGCAAGATAATATTACTTTTGCAGGAATTCAAAGACGTATTTCCAGAGGAGAATCTGCAGGGCTTACCACCAATAAGAGGCATTGAGCATCAGATTGACTTTATACCCGGAGCCTCACTTCCGAACAAACCAGCCTATAGGACTAATCCTTTGGAGACCAAAGAGCTTCAAAAGCAAGTCACCGAGCTCATGAACAAAGGACACATTCGTAAGAGCATGAGTCCATGCGCAGTACCTGTTTTACTTGTTCCAAAGAAAGATGGCAGCTGGAGAATGTGTGTAGATTGCAGAGCCATCAATAATATCACGGTGAAATATCGACACCCTATACCTAGATTAGATGACATGCTTGATGAATTACATGCTTCTAGCATCTTTTCTAAGGTAGATCTTAAGAGTGGATATCACCAGATTAGAATGAAAGAGGGTGATGAATGGAAAACTGCTTTTAAGACTAAACAAGGCCTATACGAATGGTTAGTCATGCCCTTTGGATTAACTAATGCACCTAGCACGTTTATGAGATTGATGAATCATGTTCTTAGAGCTTATATAGGTCATTTTTTTGTGGTATACTTTGATGACATTTTAATTTACAGCAAAAGCTTAGATGAACATGTGGAGCATCTTAGAAAGGTTTTAGAAGTGCTTAGAAAGGAGACCTTGTATGCGGACTTAAAGAAATGCACTTTTGGAACAGATAACCTTGTCTTTTTAGGTTTTGTTGTGAGTGCAGATGGAATCAAGGTTGATGAGGACAAGATCAAAGTTATTAAAGACTGGCCGAGTCCAAAGTCTGTTAGTGAAGTAAGAAGCTTTCATGGACTTGCGGGTTTCTATAGAAGATTTGTCAAGGACTTTAGCACTCTAGCGGCTCCCCTCACTGAGGTTATCAAGAAAAACGTGGGATTCAAATGGGAACAAGATCAAGAAGAGGCATTTCAAACTTTGAAGGATAAGCTTACTCATTCCCCGGTGCTTTCTCTCCCTGACTTTACTAAAACTTTTGAGATAGAATGCGATGCCTCAGGTATTGGTATTGGTGCTGTTCTTATGCAGGAAAAGAGGCCTATTGCATTCTTCAGTGAGAAACTTGGAGGAGCTACACTGAATTACCCTTCATATGACAAGGAGCTGTATGTGCTTGTGAGAGCTCTCCAAACATGGCAACACTATCTCTGGCCTAAAGAATTCGTCATTCACACTGACCATGAGTCCCTCAAGTATCTAAAAGGCCAACAGAAGCTGAACAAAAGACATGCTAAGTGGATCGAGTTCATCGAGACTTTCCCATATGTCATCAAGTACAAGAAAGGTAAAGATAATGTGGTAGCCGATGCATTGTCTCGCAGGTATGTTCTCTTGAACTCTTTAGAGACCAAACTGCTCGGTTTTGAACACATTAAGAGTCTATATCCTACTGATGCTGATTTTAAAGATATATATGCTTCGTGTGAGAAGTTTGGTAGTGGGAAATAGTATAGAGCTGATGATTTCCTGTTCTTTGAAAACCGTCTATGTGTGCCTAACTCTTCTGTTCGAGATCTTTTTGTCAAAGAAGCTCACGCAGGTGGACTAATGGGTCACTTTGGCGTTGCCAAAACTCTAAGTACAGTCCAAGAACACTTTTATTGGCCACATATGAAGAAAGGCATCGAGAGGGCATGTGAACGATGTGTTACTTGCAAGCAAGCTAAGGCTAAGAAACAACCCTACGGTTTGTATACTCCTTTGCCTATTCCTTTGCATCCATGGCACGATATTTCTATGGACTTTGTAGTTGGATTGCCTAGGACCAAGACAGGTAAGGATTCTATCTTTGTGGTTGTAGATAGGTTCTCTAAAATGGCTCATTTTATTCCATGTAATAAGACCGATGATGCCATGAATGTTGCTAACTTGTTCTTTAGAGATATCGTACGATTGCATGCCATGCCTAGAACTATAGTTTCTGATAGAGATACTAAGTTCCTTAGTTTCTTTTGGAAAACTCTCTGGTCTAAGCTAGGAACTAAACTGCTTTTCTCTACCACATGTCATCCGCAATCTGACGGTCAAACTGAAATAGTTAATAGAACTTTGTCCACCTTGTTGCGTGCATTGATTAAAAAGAATCTTAAAACTTGGGAAGAATGCTTATCACATGTAGAATTCGCCTATAATCATGCTAAGCATTCTGCATCTCAGTTCTCACCATTTGAAATCGTTTACGGATTCAATCCTACTTCACCTTTGGATCTAATGCCTTTACCTTTGAGTGAAAGAATTAGCTTAGATGGAAAGAAAAAGGCAGAGCTAGTGAAAAAGATCCATGAGAAGGCGCGCATAACATTGAGAATAAAACTAAGTACTACGCCAAGCATGCAAACAAGAACCGAAAGGAGATGGTCTTTGAAGAAGGAGACATGGTGTGGATTTACTTAAGGAAAGACAGATTTCCCAATGAAAGAAAGTCTAAGCTTATGCCGCGAATCGATGGACCTTTCAAGATTGTCAAGAAGATCAATAACAATGCCTATCAGCTGGACTTTCAAGGTAAGTATTCTGTGAGTTCGAGCTTCAATGTTCCTGACTTAGTTCCTTTTCTTGCAGAAGAAACAGATTTGAGGACAAATCCTTTTCAAGTGGGAGAGGATGATATGATCAAGACCAGCTTAGGAACTGAGAAGATTGAAGGAGAACAAGGAGAGCCTGAACCAGAATCGAATGAAGACCAAGAGCAGCTGAAACCCGAGGAAGCAAGTATAGACGAAGACAAAGACTTGCATATTCCGATTGGTCCAATGATGAGATCAAGAGCAATGAAGTTCAAGCAAGCTTTTCACAAGCTACTACACACCATTCAGGGCAATCTTAAGTGTGCTAATCCAACTACATTAGTTGTGATACAAGCCACTTAAGAGTTCATCGAGAGAGGTGTTGTGACTTGTGCTCTTTTTCTCTTCGTTTGGTTTTGTCCCAATTGGGTTTTCCAAACAAGGTTTTTAATGAGGCTTGTTCACAACACTTTTACAAAAGGCCTCTTGATATGATCCTAGGTGAGGATCAAGCCCTGGACTACTCTCCAACGATTGTGATCTCGAAATTTGATGGTTTGAGGTGTTAATCGTCTTTTTTAGACGAAAGTTAATCGTCTTTGTGTTAATCGTCTTTTTAGACGAAAGTTATTAAACAGTTCTTCAGAAATGTTTTCATGTATATCTTCTGGATATTATTTTCATATAATTCTTTTAAAAAACTTTCATGCCTTCTGGACATTTTTTTTTCATTCAGTTCTTCAAGAACTTTTCTTAAATGTTTTGTAGACATTTTTTTCTTTCAAATGGTTCTTCTGGAACCTTTCATAAATGTCTTCGGGATATTTTTTATATGGAGGCCATGATCTGATGACACATCTACCATATAATCATAAACCAACCACGTATTTGATATGAGGAGACATAGTCTACCATATGATAATAATGATTGTGAAAGTAAAGCTTACCATAACAATTGGTTTGGATTAAACTATAATTTATAAATATATAAGATGAAATATATATATATATATATATGTATATGTATTTCTATATATTATAATACTATATATATATATGTTATAGAAGAACAAGAAAAAGGAAGAGAGGCCAGAATGGGGAGAAATGATTTTTTTTTTCTTATTCTTGTTCTTACTTCCACAAAGAGCCAGTATACATATTTATGGGTTTAATGCAAAAAAAACCATCATCTTTATTTTTTTTGCAAAAATACCTATCAGTTCTGAAAAATGCTAGTCAATCTAGTAACCTCCAAAGTCACCCGCAAAACAATCCAAACCTATATCGATGACGTGGCAATATTTAACTCTGTGAAAAAAAACATACAGGGGTTTAAACGCATCGTTTTATTGGTGGAAAAACTTCAACCACTCTTTAATTCTATGTAAAAAGCAGCACACAGATTTTTTTATAACAATTTTTGGTTTGGCTTAAATCGATTTGGGGAAAGCAATAAAATTAGGGTTCTTGAAACATAATCAATCTTGGGGAAGAGGAATATGAAGATCTGGAAGTCAGAAGCTCGATTATGGTATCGAAGGCGGGATCACTGAGAATGAATGGGGGAGCCACGACGTAATCTTTCATCAATCTCTTCTCCAGATTCTCCAGACGCTGGAACCACGTTGGCATCGATATCGGAGTAGGCTCATTACTCTTTGCCGACGTTGTTGGTATATTCATCATCTCAGGAACATAAGGAGATCGATGAAGAAGAGAAATGAAAGATGTATAGAAATAAATCAGTAATAGAGTTGCTTATTCTAGTTTTGATTTAAGGAATTGAAGTTGGAAATTGTAAATTTCTATATGATTTAATTTTTTGTTTAGATTAAGGAATTATATTTCACGCTAGTCTCTATGTGCCTTGATTACTTTTGAAATAGTTAGATAACCATAAAGAAAGAACTGGAGTTGTATGAAGATGATTCTGGATAAATTTGTTGAAGATGTGTGCTCAGATGCATTATAGAAGGGAGATGTTTCTTTTTTTTTTTTGTTTCTTTATTTATTTTTTTAAAGCATCACATATTTTCTTCTTTTTTAATTGATTTTGAAGATACATATACAATTTCCAGAAAAAATAACATGATTTTTCATCTCTTCTATCAGACAGAACACAGCGTTTTGAAAACCATCAATGATATAACGATGATTTCACGGAGGGGTTGTTTTGCGGGTGACTTTGGAGGTTAGGAGATTGACATGCATTTTTTAGAGTTGACGGGTACTCTTGCAAAAAAAATAAAGGTCATGGATTTTTTTGCATTAAACCCTTATACTAAGTAAGAATACATAAATTAATAAGCAGTAAAGTAGGTAACTTAAGGCCGTGAGTTGGATAATTATCCATTTTCAACAGAATATACCATGATATTGTAGACAACATAAATCAAAATTTAGAAACCTAACAAACAAATTACAATTTTTTGGAATGTTTTCAAACAAATCTACATGTTCATTGCACTAATTGGACAAAACGTCAGCTACAGATTAAAGGAAAAGAGAGACTAAGATTGAGATTAATCTTAGAAGAAGCTAAACAATCTCTGAAGATGATGGATGGAGCAGCAGATGATGAGAATGCTTTGCTGGTTTCACTGAGTGAGATAACACATTGCTTCTCCAACGTTGTTGATAGTTATGAAATCTTTTAACTCTCGATTTCACTACAAGAAAACATAGTTTTTATCACCATATTTTGTGACAGTCTTTTTGGTCGCAAGAATGTCAGTTCAGAGGTACAACAAATGCAAATTAACGATGAAATATGGTAGTGATAGAGGGTAAAAACAGAACTCAGCTCAATCTAGGGATTTAAAGAGAATCATTAGAGACCTGCTTCTCAAGAATATTAATTTAATCAAATCTTACGCAAGGAAAGAAAACAATTGTCTGTTTATTAATTCTCAAAACTCTGAATTAGAAACCTAATAGAAGAGAACTATATATAGAACTCTTACCATCAAAATAAGAAAGTTTACTCCTAATAGAAATAGAAAACTAACTAGAATTAGGAAATAAGGAAATAGATAAAAAGAAATCTTGAACTAAAAAAAGGAAAGTCGTTGGAGCTGTTGATAATTTTCTAGGATGATGCTGCATCAGGACTCCTGGGGTGAGATAGATTAGTCGCACGAATCGAAAGGTGTATCTGACATATAGATAACAAGATATATATATATATATATATATATATATATTTGACATTAAGTTATAATATCCGAAGGAAGGCGGAGATGATATGTGTGTGTCATTAATGCGTTCTAAAACTTCAAGTGGTCTCATATTCTTATCTTTGAGCTTGTTGTATGCACGAGCTAGCATGCAATCACTAGTAACGACAACATAAACAAGATCTCCAACCTCAAAGACAAGGTGGCATCAGTATGCATCAGCTGCAGTTTTATAAACCGCAAAAGCTTCCAGTTAGTCTTTGTCTGCAAAATGTTGTCCATGAAGGTTTCAGCAACAACATGTAAACAAACTTGGTCCGAGAAAGAAGATAAATCATGTATCACTTATGGTTGAACTCCCAAGGATAATCTAAGAGTAAGTGACAAGCGTCCATTGGAACGAAATCAGAATATACTCAATCATGATATGTATCTCCAATCAAAAGTGCTACTAGAGAACGATGCATCACACATACTTCACTAGATTGTTGTAACCACACAAGGTGATAAGGATGAGGGTGTTCTTCGTCTTGAAGTTTCAACTTTTGGACAGCGTCTACCGCAATCATGTTCTCACTGCTGACAGAATCAATGATTAACTTACAAACCTTTCCTTCAATTGTGCAACGTGACTGAAATAGGGTGTTGCGTTGTGGAATTCATCTTGGAGATGAGGTGCTAAACAAGATCTCTGTAACATTATGAGACACTAGCCTCAGCTTCCAATTCTTCCATCGTCTCATCCAATTCATCGATATATACTCAAGTTGCACATCATGAACAGATGAATCAAATAACAATCCTTGATGGTTACGTTTTGGACAGGATGACTGTCGATGACCAGGCTTGCCACAAGAGAAACAGTGAAGCGTACCAACCCGATTTGTGTGGTTAGGGTCCACCAGAATTATTCGTGTTTCTGGATGAATGTGCATAATGTCTGTTGCGGTGGAAGGAAGACTTATTGGAGTAGAAGTTTGAGGTTGTCGTGAAAAATTCCAAGCAGAATAGTAAACCTTCGTTTGAGATTTGACAGTTAAAACTTGTTAATGAGCTCCAGTGTGATCGTTAGAGGATTAAACAGATTCAATGTGTGTTGAATTGTTGGCGTAAACCACAGATGAAACGAGCCACAATCTGACTTTCAGAATCTTGAAGATCAATCCAATTCAACAACAAGAAAAATTTGATGGTGTATTCAAGCCTGATCCTCCTTAACATTAAACATTTTAATTTCTTCATGTTTGTTGAACTCTTTCCTTCCACATTCCTGTGTTACTTGTTTTTTTTTTTCCTTTAATGGCTTCCATCTTCATTGTTGCTTTTTCTACTTCAGGTGTCTACTTTTTTTTCAGAAATGTTGCAATTCTTCCTCATCGGTTTAACTGTAGGATTTATTCTTCTTATATTTCCTTACTTTTTTCTTTTCCGTCAGTTTTTATCTTCTGGTCGTTCCTTTGGTGTTTCCACTTCTTTTACAATGGTTCCGCAAAACCATCTCGGTTCTCATCGTTCTTTTTTTTCTTCTAGGTTATATATAATCCCTACTCCTGAACCTATTCTGTTCCTAAGGTCTTCCCTAAGACCTATTTTCCTTTGACATTGGAATACCCAAATTGATAAATTTTTCAAGGAGAAAAACTTCATCAAGTGTCCATATGAGCATGCCCTCTATATCATAACTCAAAATGATGATATATTGATTGCATGCTTGTATGTAGATTACTTGATAAACACTGGTAGTAATTCAAACATGTTTGGAGAGTATAAAAGAGAGATGATGAATGAGTTTGAGATGACTGATATTGGACTGATGTCTTAATATCTTGGAATTGAAGTGAAACAAGAAGACCATGGAATCTTCATTACTCAAGAAGGCTATGCTAAAGAAGTGCTCAAGAAACTCAAGATGGATGACACGAATCCAGTAAGCACGCCAATGGAATGTGGAGGCAAGTTGTCAAAGAAAGATTAAGGAGAGAGTGTGGATCCAACACTCTTTAGTTTGGTTGGAATTCTTCGTTATTTAACATGTACAAGACCTGACATCTTATATGCGGTTGGAGTTGTGAGTCACATAGCTTTATCTTATTTTGAATTTGAGTCTTGTTGTTTCTCTTGCTTGCTTAGTTCTTAATTATTACTTGTTTCTTGTTTATTTTATGTTTTAGATCATCTTGGTTACCA